CTCGGCTCCTTGGGGATTCAGAAAGCCTTTGACAAGGTCCCTCACCAAAGGCTCCTGTGTAAATTCCATGGCCATGGGATAAGAGGGAAGGTCCTTTCTTGGATTGAGAACTGGTTAAAAGACAGGAAACAAAGGGTAGGAATAAATGGTAAATTTTCAGATTGGAGAGGGGTAACTAGTGGTGTACCCCAAGGGTCAGTCATGGGACCAATCCTTTTCAACTTATTCATAAATGATCTGGAGAAAGGGGTAAGCAGTGACGTAGTAAAGTTTGCAGATGATACCAAACTGTTTAGGATAGTCAAGACAGAAGCAGACTGTGAGGGACTCCAAGAAGATCTCACCAAACTGAGTGATTGGGCAACAAAATGGCAAATGAAATTTAATGTGGATAAGTGAAGAGCAGATTTTACAACCTAATCTGTTAGTATAAAATGAAGGTCTGTTTAAAGACAATAGGGATGTGTTATGTACAAGGCCATATGCTTTTAAGCAGCCACTAGGCAATAGATAAACCTGAGTTCTTAGGGAAAGGGTTGGACTCTGGTGGCAGGCATAGTAAGGGACAGGCCAAGCCATGAGCTTTCAAGTGAGAAGTCAGAGGGAGTGTGGGCATGGCGTCAGAGCAGGGTAGGGACTTACATGGTGCCAGTCTGTTTGGCAACCCCCCTCTTTGCCAGGAGAGTGCAACTTTCCCTCCCTGCAGGAGTGGGAGGGGGGAGAGGGTCTGGGCATGGCAGCAGAGCAGGGCGGGGGGTCATATGGCACCCGTATTTTTAGTACTTCCCATTTGCCAAGAGTGCAACTTTTCCTTAACACAGGAGTAAGCGGGCAGGAGTGGAAAGGGGGCGGTCTGGGCGTGCCTGCCCCGGGATCAGTACCTGACTGTGAGACATCCTAGGAGGAGAGAATTGTCTTCAAGGCTATAAAAAGCTCTCAGTGACCTCAGTTGCCCTGTTCACCTGCTGACCATTTCCCTCCTCCTCCTTCACCATGCTGTTCTACGTGCTGCTACCTGAGGCTGCCTAAATTTCTTGGGAGAAATCCATGTACTGGCTAGGGAAGCTGATCCCTCATCTAGGATCGCATGCAGCCACTTATAAAAGTGGCATGTTTGTGGTGATGCTCCAGACCGTCCATTTGCCTCCTTTGTCTTTTGATACAGCTCCTCACTACTTTATTTTCACTCGGCAGTACTTGGTGTCCCTGGCATATCCTTTTTCCACCATGCCCATTGCAATATTGGCATAGATATCTGCACTTCTTTTTGCTGGTTCATAGCTGTGTGAAAAGAGTTTCTTCTCTGCACACAGCAGTGAGACCAGAATTAACTGATAAGTTGAGGCTTATTGGTTGATCCTGTCAACTACACACAACAATTCCCCCCCCTCCCCGCCTCCGTATCCCAGGCCACCA